TTTTTTTTTTTTTTTTTTTTTTTTTTTTTTTTTTTTTTTTTTTTTTTGGACTTTTCTTTTTTCTTTTCTCCTTTGTTTTTTAAATGTCTTCTGGAGGTCAACTGCTGGCAGTGATAAGAGCATTAGAGCATTAGAGCATTAGAATTTAGAAGAAACACGCAAACATACACACACATCATTCAAAGGGCACAACACATTGTAGACAGCGAAAGCTGTAAGCATTCAGAAAAACACACGAAAGGTAACCATCGCTTTTGTAGCCAGGAAACTTGTGGCAGCGTGTTGTCCGAGCGGAATGTGTTGATTGCCGTGTCCGTGGTGTGGTGGTGTGTGTGTGTGGTGTGAGTGCAAGGACGCTACAGCCCTGGAGGTGGGCTTGATATCAGGACCGGAATGGATCCAGTTTTATAACACCTCCAAGGGTTGTAGTGGTTACGAGACTTCGTTTGTGAGGCTGAGGGTGGCGGTTTGAGGCCGTGCGTGGACGGCAGGGCCTGATGCCCTAAAATACACTGCTGGCAGTGATAAGAGCAACCCCCAACAGTGGACGTCTTATGCTTACAGCTCTAGTCTTATTGGTGGGGAGCTGCACCTGCTGGAAATCAGGTCTGGCGCCCCGTTTTACGCACAAGAGGAGAGCCTTCACATACTTGCGTGTGGAGCAGCATTGACCACCCACTCCTATGAGCGGATTGATGGCCCGTCTGCTGTACACTAGTTCCCTAATACCACCAGTACTTTGCCCAGCTTGAAAAACAAATACACGGCTTGTATACAGTCACAGCTTTTCGGGGTCAGGGAAGGCCCCGGTACTAGGGTGCTGAACTTCCTCGAAACCAGACTTCTGGTGTGCGGTGCTCCCACCATGATAGTAATGTCCCATAAATTCAAGAATGTGGACACAATATGGGCCCCCGGTACACTCAGGTTCCGAACGTATAAGGACGTCTTGTCATTCGGGGTGCGCGCCAGCAAGTTTGCTACTGTTGCCAACACAATCCTTCAGATTGCCTGCAACTCTAATGCCCCAGGAGTTATGTGTCTGAATGCCTTAAGTCTGAGCGAGGCCATTTCTCAAAAAAAAAAAAAAAAAAAAGAAATTAAGCTACCCTAGTAAGGTCGTGCTGGCGCGGGCAGGCATTCACTGGGTGTATCGGCGGGAACCAACGTCATCTGGGTCAAAAATGCGCGATGTTGCTGATTTGTGGCTGCGTGAACAATGCATGGGGGGCTGGGCGCGGAGCCAAGTGGCCACTCGTGGTATGATATGTATGTGGTTTAGGGTATATCTGTATTCAGTTTCAACGTATTTGGACCAGTAACGAAAAAGTTGGCAAAAACACCAAATTCGGGTCTCAATTTTTTGAGAGATGGTTAATGGAAGACCCAAAATTCGGGGTTTTTCGCAGCATCTGGTGTCATTTTTGGCGAATTTTTCACCGAAACTGCCATAGTTCCCTGAATTTTTGCCTTTTTTTTTTTTTTTTTTGGTATGATATTGATGTGCTTTAGGGTATATCTGTATTCAACTTTCAACGTATTTGGACCAGTAATGAAAAAGTTGGCAAAAACACCGAATTCGGGATTTTTTTTTCCCCGAACTCCGAAAGCTATTACTGACGCCTTGCATTTGTCCTCTCCGTAAGTACCCGAGCATTCAACTTGGAGGACTGGGTTTGTGCTTCGTGCCACTTGGAGAGATGGTTTGCTTTTCTCTTTTTTTTTTTTTTTTTTTTTTTGTGCCTGTGTGATATGTACGTGTTTGAGGGTATATCTGTATTCAGTTTCGCCGTATCTGGACAAGTAATGAAAAAGTTGGCAAAAACACCGAATTCGGAAAAAAAATTGGCGAACTCCAAAAGCTACTCCGAATAGGGTTTTATAGTGCTTTTGATTTTTTTTTTTTCTGTTTTTTTTTTTTTTTTGCCTGTTTCGTTTTTTTGATGTGCCACTTGGAGATATGGTTAATGGAGGACCCAAAATTCGGGTTTTTTCGCCGCATCACTACACCCAATGTCATCGAAAATTTTGCAAACAAACTATGCAGGCTCATAATACAAACATCAGAAAACCAAACACTCACCCAGGTTGAATGCTCAGGTACTTATGGGAAGGACAAATGAAAGGCGTCAGTAAGCCCTTGCAATCTGCATCTGGTCCGCTGTTCTTTTTTTTTTTTTTTTTTTTTTTTTTCGGTCCGCTGTTCTATACGTGGCCTTATATGAAGCACCGCATCAAAACGTGGAAAATCGAATCCCCACGAGAAGGTAATGTTTCTTCTGGATTGTACACAGGCAAAAATGTGGCTCGGTACATACATGTCTCTACAGTGCATAGTGCACGTCTACCGGTGATGGCTCTTCCCCGTATTAAATATTTTTTTAACAGGCGTAGCGTCATGTAGCACTGCCTTCGAGATTCGGATCACCACGGGAGACAACGTTTTATAGTATTTTTATACAAGCACGAATCGCGCCTCGGTACATACGGGCCAAAGCCCACTCCTACTGGCGGCTGTTCTCCCCTGTATTTTTTTTTTTTTCCATTTACGCTTAGCGATCCCTTCTGGAGGCAGGGACATATGAGGACACTTGCAGAGGCTGGGGTTAACCCGTCCGAACCTAGTCCAGGTCTTGGTTAAGGTGCTCGTTAGACACTCCTCGGGCGCTCAAAAATCCCGAGGAAATGATCGTTCCATCTGTCCTCGGAGAGAGTTCCTTGGAAACCGATGTGAAAACATTTCCTCGGGGTGTCCTCGGGGCGTCCTCGGGCCACAGCCATTTGGCTGCGCTCCCCAAGGTACCTCGCGAGGTCCCTCGGAGTGGGAGTTTCCGCGAAAATCGGGACGGCGGCGGCAGCCTTCGACGACGGCACAGTTTTGTAGTGTGGTACAACGGTGGTCCAGCCGAGGTGCGGGCGGAAATTACCGGCCGGCAACGTTCGACTTCGGTGGGGACAGCGGCAACGGTAACGAAGAGTGGCGGACGGGGTCCGTGGAGGGCCCGAGGTGACCCGACCGCTCGCGTGTGCCGGCGGGAAACGGACAGGCCTCCAACGGGCGGCCGTTTCGAAATTCGTCGGGCTGTACGTCCGTCGCCGAGAGCAGAGGTCCGCAATGTAAACCGGCCGAGGGCGTCATCAGCCATCACTTGCCGTCTGCTGTTTGTCGCTGTCAGGTTGGCCGTTACGCTGCGGTTGTCTTACATGGCCAACGTGTTCCGCAAGCTGCTGCTGCTCCTCCTCGTCGTGATTCTGCTTGTCGTTGTCGTCTTTGTTCACGTGTGCATATTGGGGAGGTTGCCTTCACGTACTCGCAGGAAAGGAGGGGCGAGGAAGAGCGTTGCCATGGACGGGAGGTGGCCGACTCAGAGGACGTTGTCCAGCCCTTATCCGACCGATCGGGCTCCGATCTGTGCCGGTGCAGACAGAAAGGCGGCAGGTCCGCCACCGTACGAAGGACTGCCGCCTCACTTGCAACCGCTGCCCGATTCGGACGAGGGGGAGGCGGAGGTGGACGTGTCGACGACAGTTCCGCTGGGTAGCGGGTCTACCCAGGAGTGAACGGGTAGCCAGTTGTATGATCGCCGCGGGACGAAGTATGGGCAGTCGTTCATTTCCCTCCTTCACGACGGCGCGGAGGAGGAGGATTGCCTCCCCCCTGTCGATCTCACATTTGGCCTCCGGAGCGGGAGCCCGTCTTCTGTCACGCGCACTGTGCTCGTGAACCCTCATCCCGACGACGATGCGGGGCAGGTCACATTCGGCGGCAGGGGCACGAGGGGCAGAGCGGCGGCAGAGGTGACGTCGGGGAAGACGACGGCATGGCCTCGAACGCAGGCGACTTCTGGCCCGTCAGTTCCACGCATTGTCGGGCAACGTCCTGAGTGGACGACCCTCAGTCCTCCTTTGTCCGGGGGGCACGACGGCTTTCGTCGTCTCGTAGATCGGGCTGTGACTCACGAAGATTTCCCTTCCGAGGGCGCGCATGGAGATGGCAGGCGGGTGTGGAAGGATGCGAGGCAGGAGTTGCGGCGGCAGCAAGAAGAGTCCATAACGAAAGGCGTGGAGCGTTTACGCGTGGGCGAGCGGAGTGGGCAAGCAAACGTGGCCGCCGGGGGGGGTGACACGTGGGCAAACGCTGACGAAGTTCAGTGCGACGTAGACGACGACAACAGCGGCGACGTGTTCCCGTTGCGTGCGCCGAACATGGGCGGGAGGGGCGGCAGGGGCAGCACTTCGACTAGAGCGGTGCACAGGCGGACGAGATCAACGACGGCCTCTGCAGACGCGGAAGGCGAGGGTGATGGGGAAGGAGGGAGGAATTTCTGGTCCGTGGAACACATGGTGGCCCTAATCAGGGCGAAGCGGGATCAGGACGCCCAGCTGCAAGCATCGGGACACAACTTTGCTCGGATGCGGACGAGGGAGTGGAAATGGATGGACGTCTGAGAGAGATTGCTGAAGGTCGGTGTCGACAGGCCGGCAGACAAATGGGGGAAAAAATGGGACAATCTCATGCAGCATTTCAAGAAGGTCCACGCTTTCATGGGCATGTCGGGGAAGGAGGACTTCTTCCAGTTGACGAGTCAGCAGAGGGCAGAGAAAGGATTCAACTTCAACATGGATCGAGCCGTCTTCGAGGAGATCAATGGGGCGAGGGAGAGGAGCCACACTATCAGCCGGACCAATGTTGCAGACACTGGCGGGGCAGGGGGKGTGCAACTCCCATCTGCACAGTCGGCGACTCCGGAATCTGTGGGGGATGGTGAAGCCGCCGGTGATGGAAACGGCGAAGACGACAGCTCAGCACGGGGTGGCTCACAGACGAGTGGTGGCCCGGCCGGGATCGGGAAGAGGAAGAATGTGCGGCAGCAAACATATCGAGGCGTTGTCGGAGTGCATGGACAAGCATGGGCCGTTGATGGCGTCGACGATGGAGAGCGCCAGCAGAAGGCAGTGCGAGACGATGGAGAGCGCGAGCAAGAGGCAATGCTCCATCCAGATTTGGCAGTGCGAAGCTATCGAAGCGGAGGTGGAGATCCAGAAACAACACTGTGCTGCCTCCACTGAAGTTAGCAAGCTTATGTGCCAGGCGCTGATGGAAATAGCGAAGGCTATACGAGAACGGTAGACACGTGCGACCGCCGAAGGTCATTGGTCGTCATTGTGAATCCGCTGTCGTCGAACGCAGTCGGATGGATGTGGACGTTGCTCATGCCTCGTTTTTTTCCATGGATGAGAGAGAGAGAGAGAGAGAGAGAGAGAGAGAGAGAGAGAGAGAGAGAGAGAGAGAGAGAGAGAGAGAGAGAG